TGCTCTTGACCTACCAGACGACCACGACTGGTGGTCCGGCCTGCTCGAGCTTGTCGTGAATAAAGACGACTTGCTAAATCGCACTTTTAAGCTCCCCGTCGGGTATGTTCCTCCTCTTGTTCGTCAAAACCAATCCGCCAGCGGAGCTGCGACGACCTCTGGTTCGAGTCAGCCGGTCGAGCCGACACAACAGCAGCTCGAGCCTGCTACCAGTGACAATGGTGCTAACACGGAACCAACTGCCCAGGACCCTTCTAATGCCCCGTCTTGAAGTTGTTGTAATTTATTGTCTTTGATCCTTGTGTAATTTTCTTTTCTGAGTGATCATTGTTTATTGAATGAATGCTGTTGGAACTGAAACATGTGTAGTTTCTTTGTCATTTCCTGGTGATGCGTTTGTTAAAGTGTTTGCTTGGTTATCCACGGGCCTGTGCTGTCGCAACATGTCGATGTCATGTGAATCAACTAGAATCACTCCATTTACCTCCTTGATCAATCATAACTAATTTATAAATCTTAATGAATTAAATACCATTACATGTGATCACCAGCCTTAATAAATCTTAATAAATCTTGATGATTTGAATACCATTATACATGTCCACCCTCAAAGGGGTGGTCGTTACATGCGACCATCCAGCCTTTCGGCCTTAGTCATGATGGATTTTTTGTCTTCGAGCACATGTCCACCCTCAAAGGGGTGGTCGTTACACGCGACCATCCAGCCTTTCGGCCTTAGTCATGATGGATTTTTTGTCTTCGAGCACATGTCCACCCTCAAAGGGGTGGTCGTTACATGCGACCATCCAGCCTTTCGGCCTTAGTCATGATGGATTTTTGTCTTCGAGCACATGTCCACCCTCAAAGGGGTGGTCGTTACATGCGACCATCCAGCCTTTCGGCCTTAGTCATGATGGATTTTTGTCTTCGAGTACATGTCCACCCTCAAAGGGGTGGTCGTTACATGCGACCATCCAGCCTCTCGGCCTTAGTCATGATGGATTCTTGTCTTTGACCAATCATTCATCATAGGCCACCACATATATGCAATGAAATTAAAGCAATCAATTAGGAACAGTATTGAAAGTTGAACAGAAATTTCATTAACTCAAATCGGGAATTTCAGTACATCATTTTGTTGTGGAGAGTTTCCGACAAGAGAAAGAAAAGACAAAAATTTTAAACATAATACTTCTTCAAGTTAGCCACATTCCATGACCTGGGGAGTGATCGACCTTCAGCATCCTTGAGTGAATATGCACCTCCCGCGTGCACCTTCTCGACCAAGTATGGTCCTTCCCAGTTGGGTTCGAGCTTACCCACGTGCTTCAACACGTCCACCCTTTTCCAGACCAGATCGCCCACCTGGAATCTCCTCATCTTGACCTTCCTGTCATGCGCTGCCCGCATCCTCTGCTTGTACGCCTCGACTCTGATCGAGGCTTGTTCCCGATGTTCTTCGATTGTGTCCAGGGCTGCCATCATTAAGTTCTCGTTCTGCTCAAGATTATATGTGCTCGATCTTTGTGACTGGATCTCGCTCTCGATTGGGAGCAGTGCCTCCATGCCGTAAACCAGGCTAAATGGTGTCTCTCCCGTGGTCGATCTTGGTGTTGTCCGATACGCCCAAAGTACTGAAGTGAGCTCGTCGACCCATGCTCCCGACGCCTTCTCCAATCTTGTTTTCAGGCCGTTTAGGATGATTCTGTTGGTCACCTCGACCTGTCCATTGGCTTGCGGATGAGCAACCGACGCGAAGTGTTGCTCGATCTTCAAGTCTTCACACCATGCTCGAATCCGCTTGCCATTAAATTGCGTCCCATTATCGGACACCAACACCCTTGGAACACCAAACCTGCAGCAAATATTGTTATATAAAAATTGTATGACTTTCTCTTCCGTGATTTTTGCCAGCGGCTCAGCCTCCACCCACTTCGTGAAATAGTCCGCTGCCACTATCAAAAATTTTCTTTGACCAGTTCCCTGCGGCATCGGCCCTACCAGATCAACGCCCCACTGCGCAAATGGGATAGGGGCACTCATCGTCGTCATCATTTCCGCCGGTTGGTGAATAAGCGGCCCATGTTTTTGGCATTGTAAACACTTCCTCACCATCATCTTCGCGTCCTCCTTCATGGTCGGCCAAAAATATCCTGCTCGCAGTATCTTCGCGACCAAAGACCCCGCCTTACTGTGATCGCTGCAACATCCCTCATGGGTCTCCCTCAACACGTGTCGGCCCTCTTCTCGCGTCACACATCTCAGGTGAGGTCCGGCATACGACCTCTTGTACAACACCCCATTATGCTCGAAAAACCTCCTTAACACCTTCACCCCTCCTTCTCTCAATTCCTTAAGTATAAAAGCTCTCCAATCGTCGACCTCTTCTATCTCCGCTACCTCCTGCTCGACCGCACTTCTCTCCATGTGCAGCAAAGTGACACTTCTGCTCTTACAGTCGACCAGATTCTGTGCGATTTTGGATAGCAGATCTGCTCGACCATTCTCACCTCGGGGTATTTGCACTAATTCAAACAAGCTAAACTCCACCCTCAATCTCTTCATTTCCTCGACATACCGCTGCATTCTCTCCTCCTTCACCTCAAAGTCCTCCTGAAACTGGCCTACCACCAACTGAGAATCAGAATACACTTGAATCTTGCGAGCTCCACCTGCTATGGCCAGCTGCATCCTTTTAATAACTGCCTCATACTCTGCCTCATTGTTCGATACCTTGTACTCGACCTTGACTGCGAACTCCAAATTGTCTCCTTTGGGCGAGATTAGAACAATGCCTAAGCCCCCTCCAGCTCTCGACACCGAGCCATCAGCAAACATTTGCCAAACCCCTTCTTCTTCTTCCTCCTCCTTCGTACCCTCTTGTATGAAATCCGCCAATGCCTGTGCCTTTATCGCCCTCCTTGGCTCATATGCTATCGTGTATTCACTCCACTCGACCGCCCACTTGACTAGTCGACCTGATACCGAAGGTCGACCTAACGTCTCTCCCAATGGCATATTCGTTCTCACCTTCACCTTATGGCCTAGAAAGTACGGCCGCAACTTTCTTACTGTTACTACCACTGCTAAAGCACACTTCTCGATCTCCGAATATCTCCTTTCTGCCCCTTGCATCACTTTACTGACATAATAAATTGGAAATTGCACTGCGCCTTCTTCCCTCAACAGAACCGAGCTCACCGCCATTTCTCCGATAGATATATACAACACTAGGTCCTCCCCCGGAACTGGTTTAGCTAATAGAGGCAAGTTAGCTAACACCTCTTGTAACTCCTCGAATGCTCTCTGGGCCTCCTCCGTCCATTGGAATTTTGAACTCTTTCTTAACGTTCGAAACAAGGGCCCACTCTTTTCTGCCACCTTGGATATGAAGCGGCTCAAACCCGCTATCCTGCCCGTCAGAATCTGCACCTCCTTCACTTTCGTGGGTGGCTTCATCTCGATCACCGCTTTCACCTTTTCTGGGTTGACCTCGATCCCTCTTTTCGTTACCATGTACCCCAGGAACTTCCCCGACTTTACCCCAAAAGAACACTTAGCGGGGTTCAGCTTCATGCCATATCTCCGCAACGTCAAGAACGTCTCCTTCAAGTCGTTCACGTGATCGGCCTCCACCTTACTCTTCACCAGCATATCATCAACATACACCTCCATGTTCCTCCCCAGCTTGTCCTTAAAGATCTTGTCGACCAACCGCTGATACGTTGCCCCTGCATTCTTTAGACCGAAAGGCATCACCACATAACAATAGGTGTCTTTGCTCGTAACAAAACTCACCCTCTTCCTATCTTCTCGAGCTAAAGGGATTTGGTGATACCCTGGGATGCGTCCATAAGACTGAGAAACTCACAACCTGCAGTAGAATCGACTAACTGATCGATCCTGGGCAAAGGATACAAGTCTTTCGGACACGCCTTGTTTAAGTCTCGAAAATCAATACACATCCTCCACTTTCCCCCAGACTTAGACACCATCATCGTGTTCGACAACCATTCAGGGAACTGGATCTCCTTAACGTGGCCCGCCCTCAACAACTTCTTGACCTCCTGCTCGATCACTTTGTCCATTTCCGCACCGTGGTGTCGCCTTTTTTGCTTCACTGGCCTCACCGTTAAGTCGATGTTCAAACAATGTTCTATCACCTCCGCCTTTATCCCTGTCAACTCCTCCGCCGTATACGCAAAAACATCCGCGAACTCTCTGATCAACCCAATCAACTTCGACCTTAGGGGCTCCTCTATCTCCTTACCTATCCGAAATTTTCTCTCTTCGCACCCTTCTACCATCTGGACATCCTCAATCTCCTCTCCTGGCTGCATTTCCACCTTCTCCTTCCCCTTATCAGCTCTCTCCTTCTCTTCTCTTGACCTCGAGCCTCCAGGTCGGCTCAATACTCCCTCTTCAAGCTTCGCTCGCTTCCTCGTCCTCGAGAGCTGCTTATTATTGCTCACCGTGGTCTGATAGCAACTCCTCGAGGTAAGCTGATCTCCTGCGACCTCACCAACGTTTTCCCCCACCGAATATTTGATCGTCATGTGGTACGTCGACACGACCGCCTGGAAAGCATTTAAGCTGGTCCTTCCCATGATAATGTTGTACGAGGACTCTGCTCCAACGACCACAAACTGCACCATTCGCACCTTCCTCGTCACTCCTTGCCCCAAGGCAACGGAAAGGCTCACCTCTCCCATCGGCATCACTTCGCCCCCGTTGAATCCATATAGGGTTGTGGTCACCGGCTTCAAGTCGAGGTTGAGCTCCTTGTTTATCTGCACAAAACAATCATAAAACATCACATCCACCGAGCTCCCCGTATCAATAAACACCCTCTTCACATCGAAACCAGCCACCTCCGCCGTTATCACCAGCGCATCATTGTGGGGTAACACTACTCCCTCTGCATCTTCCGCTCGAAATCTTATCTCCGGCATCCGAGCAGTGATCCCCACCTCCTCTCTCTTCCTCTTCATCGCTCGAACATGTCCCTTCCTTGCATTGTTCGAGTCCCCATCAGTTGGGCCCCCCGAGATCATATAAATCGTTCCTCTCTTCACCGGGCCTTGATCCTCCTGACCTCCTCGATCTCGACTCCCTCGTCTCCTCTTGCCTCCTCGATCACCCCTTCCTCCTCGGGAATCGCCTTCCTCGTCCTCATCTCGATCACTTCGCTCCACCGAGTCCTCTCGACATTTCCCTTTATCCTTCCCCTTCGCCTTTCCCGCGTACACGAACTCCTTAAGATACCCGGCCCTGATAAGGCGTTCGATCTCATCCTTGAGGTGCCTACACTTCTCTGTTTTGTGTCCGTAATCTTTATGAAAATGGCAATACTTGCTCGACCTAGGCTGTGTCGGTCCCTCACGCCTCGATTTCGGCCACGTCACATCCCCATCCTCTATCTTCTTCTCAATAGCTATCAACACCTCTCCCATTCTCGCATTAAGGGGCGTAAAGTGTTGGAAACGCTTCCCCCCCAATACCGGTCGATCCTTCCACCTGTCTTCTCGCCCACGATCAATCCTACCACGTCCCTCTCTTCTGGGCGATCTCCTTCCCGGGGATACTCTTCGAGGCGAGCTTACCCTTCCTTTCTTCTGCTCTGGCTTAGCCAACTCTTCCAACTTAGCAAACTCAGACTCCGTTTCCTCCAAATTAATATACTTCTTACACCTTTTTAGCACATCGTCATACGTACGAGCAGGGGTTTTAGCTAAAGATGTTCGACATGGCCCTGCTCGCAAACTCCGTATCAGCCCCCCAGCCTTCACCTCGTCCGAGGCCGTGGGGATCTCCAAACAAGTTTGATTGTATCGCGCGGCATACTTGCGTAATGATTCTTTCTCCCCTTGCCTCATGGCCATCAACGTCAAGTACGTCTTTTCTTGTGCCACCGCACTCGCATACTGGGTCATCAGCTTTTCCGCGAAATCATCGAAGTCCTTGATCGATCCATGAGGGAGCTGCTGAAACCAGTCGAGCGCGCCTCCCCTCAAGGTCGACAAGAATGCCCTGCAGCTAACCGAGTCGGAATAACCATGTAACACAGCCAAATTCTCAAACGCCCTTACATGCCTCGACGGGTCAGTGGTCCCATCAAACATCAAACTCATGTCTCTGAAATTCGCAGGTAATGGTGCAGCCAATATATCCCTCGAGAAGGGATGTCCTCGAGCACGTCTTTCAGGTCGACCATCCATCTTTGCCTGCATCTGCCTCACCTGTTCCGCGAGCCTCTCCACCTCATGATCTCTTAAGGCTCCATCTCCTCCATAGCTAGACACGTCCTCATCCACCATCGTTGGTCCAACAGCCACTCGCGAAAGGCTTTGAGTGACCTGCTGAACCGCTTGTGCCGCCGCGTTCGCCACCATCTGCTGCATCTCCTGCCTAGTCATCACCACCTGCTGGCCAGGATGCGGTTCCTCCACCGGCGGCGGCACTGCTCCTGGTACCGCCGCTCCTCGCTGCAGCGTCGCGGCCAGATCTGGTTGCGGCGGCGCTGGGGCCACCGCGCCTTGAGCTGTGCGGGTCTCCTAGGCCCGATTTGAGCCCACATCAGCCTCTGGTTGCACCGGCGTGACTTCTACACCTTGGGGAACATGCGTCGGAGTCACCGGTGTACGCGAGGGTCTAGAGAAGCCCGGAGGTGGGCCTTCTCCAAACGGCCTCGTCATCGTCCACGCATCATCGAACGATGCTTGTAAATCTCTCCTAGGAATTCCGTCCGCCATAGCTACCGAGCTTAAGAAATCTCAGCACACCACTTTTCGAACGAAAGTCCCACAGACGGCGCCAAATGGTAACGCAAAACACTCCGACCGGCTTGGAATCGGTTTGCTTCCTTCTTCCTTGCCGATAGAACGCCGCGTCCCTGCACAGAACTCTCACACCGGTGGGGTTTTCCGGTGAAGAGCCTCCGATGCTTAAGTCAGTATATGTTTGTTCAATTTTCCAAAGTAAAGAATGGATAAATCGTAAACCCTAAGAAAAGACCCACTCCCATATATATAGGAGTGAGATACCTGCCCTAAGAGCTGCCCGGATATTGGTGAGCTGTCCTGCCCACGCTGCCCGTCCGTACACATAGAGTGTGTGTGTTGTCAGAAATGTCAGGGGTGTCAGAGGTGGTTGTTGCCACTATCACTCTGCACCAATACGTTTTCGCCACGTGCCCCCCTCTGAGCTGAGGGGAATTATTCCCTTGCGCAAACCGTTGGGATCTCCTGACCTCACTCACGCGCCCACTCGCGTTCAAGTCACACTCTCGACTGCTTCCTACCTGCTGCGTGCTCGATCTGATCGAGCTCCCCCTTACTAAATCGATCCTCGACCAGCTCCGCTATTCTGCTCGATCTATTCCGTTTTGGTCGATCATCCTTCAACCAACGTGGTTTTCTCCACCCTATGCCTGCCTGACCAACATAATGGACCGGTCTGCTCCTTAGTCGTATAATATCCCATATCAGATGGTGTGGTGCCAAACATTCATGGGGCACAACTGAAAACCCCATGTTAAATTGTTAAATAATTCTGAGATGACATCTAGGAGGGAAAAGGGGTTGCAGTATAACAGTGATGGAAAGTTCACTACGGAGCACATGTGTAAGAATAGGATCACCGACATGATTATGACTAGGGTGTTGGTGGATATACAAAAAGCTTGAATTTTTGTGGACAACTAATCCCGTTTGAATGAGAATCATGTTTAATTGAATAGTCTATGTCCTAATGTATTACATTTGGATAATATGGTTCACCACAGATGGAACTTGGGAATGATAAGTTTATATTATGCTGACCAAGTAAAAAAAACTACACCTTGAATTGTTGCGTACTCATAACCCGTAAGATATAAATAGACACGTGCAACAATAACTGCTACTTTGATTCATTAAAAGTGAGATCCATTCTACTGGTCAATAATCTAGGTGAGTTGGCTAGTGGTACTGTTTGTATGTTGTGGTGTTCGAATATTTACAGTCACCGTGCGCATTAGTTTGATTTTGTCCTAAGATGAGCTCAAGAAGAATTGTTATCTTAAACCCGACCGGTGGAATTTATTCTGACATAATAATAAAGATTTGAATTGTACTAGTCTCGATTCAAGAAGTCAGTTAATTTTATTGTCACTAAAATTAATTGACAGATATTATATCTTAAGCACGAGGAGGTAAATTGGGTAATTATTTTTGAAGCCTCAAATGTAATTTGGGCACTAGATGAGGAGTGCAATAATATTTCTTTAGTGGACTCATGTTAGTCAAGTTTGGGCAGAGTTGATTTGGCTCTAAACCCATACATGAGAAGCCCATATATAGCACATTCTTAGTGTCTCGAGTATAGCCTATAATACACCGCATCTCTCGGGATTTGAGATGAGGGAGTTGCCACAAGCATAGACATAACCCACATCTCTTAGCGTTGGTACATCAATTGGAACTCAAAGTTTGTTTTTGTTTTCTTTAGAGTACTTGGGATGAACACCATTAAGTAGTCTGGAGGGATTCCAGATCATGTTATTTAAGTCCATGTTGTGGCCAGAAGAGTGGTTGAATTAGTGGTGTGTGTTTGTCCCATTTTTGTATCTTTATTTCATGTTTATTTTCTTTTTGTTCTCCCCCATTTATAGGTTTTTCGTAGCTTATTTGGTCCATTTCTTTTGTTTTGTGCTTTTGTCTTTAGTTTATATTTTTTGTATTTTTTTGCCGTGTTTTGCTTCGTGTTTTTCCGTGTTTGCGTTTTCAGGAGGTAGGTTGTGCCGGTCGAGGTTAGGATTGCGTGAGCCGAAACTGTGATATCGAGAATACCCATTGCCGAGCCCAGAAGACTCGAGGAAGGACTGAAAAAACGGACAGAAATGGTTCCCAAGAAATTTCGCGAGGCGACTCGCGGAAAAAATTGGGGCTTAAAAGGATTTCCGAAGAACGAGTCACGACTCGCGAGTTATGTTGCGACCAGACCCCAGGAATTGAACATTTTGACGACGCACGACTCGCGAGGGAGTCGCGACTCACGATCGGGAAGAAGGTGAAGTCGCGACTCGCGACTTAACCGGCGCGAATTTCAAGGACGGGATTTTTAGAGCAGATTTTGGTTCTAGGATTCATTATTCGACTTTCATACTTTATTTTTATGTTTTTTCTCTCTAGAAATCTATTCCTTTTCATACTTTTGCACTTTGGATTTGTTTTGGAGATTGAAAAACTCTTTTTTGTTGCTTTTGGATTTGGATGCACTTGGATTTGACATTGGATTTTTATCATTAATCGTAAGTTATTTTTCTCAATTGCTTTGTTGATGATGATGACTTGGGTTTATATGAATGTTGATGTTAAATTCGTTATGAGTAGCTAAATCCATTCGCTAGGGATAGGGGATGATTGATTAGGTTCGATAATAATTGAATGCTTTTGATTGTTCATGTCTATTCGAGTTGTGTGAATTATAGGGTTAGTAGATTGATCACCTTTCTAACTTAGATAATCAACGTGTAGAACCGAGAGGGGAGACGTTGGTCGAATTAGGCTCGTTTAGAATAGATTTGTTCGGAAACGTATTATCTATGTGTTGTTGGAATTGATAGTTGATCGTTTACATTCACTCTCTTGTTACGAAGAGTTATTGAGAGTGAACTCTGAACGAGAAACGATTCAAGTCCTTTAACCGAGCAATTGATTGCCGGTAATTGTGATAGAACCGAAAGCAATTATCCCCGATTCCCTAGCTCTTTAATCATCGAGTGAATTTATTTGCCATTTTGCTTTTATTTTATTTAGTTTAAATCAGTATTTGATAATTGAAATCCAAAAATATTGAATTAGAGTGTTTAGGAATTTTTCTTCTCTTTTTCGTGATTGAATAAACGCACAAGAATATCCGGCTAACCTTCCTTGCGATACGACCCGGGGAACGAATCTTTCGATTCTACTCTGGTAAAAATACTGACAACAAAATTGGCGCCGTTGCCGGGGAAGGTTTAGGACTATAATTGTGCGCTTATTCGTTTTTTTTTTTTGTGTTCCTCTTATTTCTTGTGATTTTTCTTGTTGTAGTATTTCTCTTTGTTTCTTTTGCTTAGTCTGATAGTTCTTGATTTTTGATTGTTTGTTTTCTTTAGGATTTCATTTGTTTATCTGGTGCTCGTGACGGTTTCTT